CTGATGGATGACTGTTGCACCAAGACAATGTCTCCGCTCACATGGCCCTATCTGTCAAGTAGTTTCTGACCCGCAAAAACATTACTATGATGGGATATCCTCCTTAATCACCTGATTTGGCTCCATATAAGATTTCTTTTATTTCCTACAGTTGAATATTGCTGAAAGGGAACCCATTTTACTTCAGCTGAAGAGGTTCAGGAAAAATCGGAAAATCTCCTAAAGGGATTTCCAGAACTGTTACCAGCAGTGGCAGCACCGAATACAGAAGCGTGTGATTGCTGAAGGGATCTACTTTAAAGATGATGCTGTCACGGAGAACTGATTCTGTAACCAGATGATTAAACTGTCTCATTTTTTTGTTTTTGTGTCATACATCGTATGATTAGGAAAATTATGCCGGTGCAGGATTTATGCACCATTTGACCTTTCGATTTTGCTTCATATATATTCTATGAGATCTATGTCTACTGAATTCAGAGGTCAAATCCTTCACTGGTATTGTTCAAAATATTCTACAAACCAATCGTAATTGATTTGGTGCATTGCCCTGAAAAGTTTCATCATTGCTTGGGTACGTGACATTCATGGAGAGCTGAAAATGATCTCCAAATAACTGACCAGAACTATTTCCCGTCTGCGATTGGTTCGACTTAATCAGAGGACTCAGCCTACGTCATGTAAAAAAAGCCTTCATCATTATAGAGCCAACGGAACAGAAACGAGCTCGAGGATCGCTATGTGAGCCATACTCCCTGTAAAATCAATTGTAGATCGTAAAACCCGTGCATTTGCACAACAATCGAATCAAACTATTAGTTCTTACCAAGTGGAATCGCAATTCCAATGACCAAGCAGCGTTTTCCCTGTTATTTAGTATCCAGCGAATATACTCCTGAGTTCAGAAGAGGATCTACTGCCGATGGAGTGTTTTCATTCGAGGTACTTTATTCGATCTTCTGCTATATCCCCCCCCCCCCATTACCATTAAAATTCGCTCCTCTGTTCTCACGGACATGTCTGTAATATGTTTCGTATTAACTGTTGCTGTTATTTGAAGAAGTGTTGCTTGCCTGTTAACGCCATAATTTATGAACAGAACTTCGCTGATTTCTGTCCTTAAACAGATGCAATTGCCCAATGCGTTGTTGTCCATAATGAAATGTAATGTTTTTTTCATTTCTAATGGGTTGTGAATTGGTGTTTTACCATTGCACACCTAGTACATTTCCCGGAAGCTGGTATCTCTTTTTAGTGCGGCACCATGCAGGTAACACCTGTATGGTGTCACCTGTAGATTCAGATTCTACAGAAGTGTTTAGTGAGGTATAGACGTGCCGTCAAATAATTTTGACTTGTAATTATTGGGAAAATAATAAAACTAGATACTAACTACACAAAACTTTATTTACTACAAAAGATACCTTCTGCGCAGTATAGCCGTAAATGTTTTAATTATGCGTGAATTCAAATTTTAAAAAAAGTAACATTAGTGTGACCTCTGTTGTAGCAGATTAGAACTTATATAGGACTTATACAGCAAATAACTTATATTAGGATTGTAAGATGTTACTTTTAGAAGAATGTATGCTGAATTGAAGTCATCTGCAAAAAGGGTTTATAAGCAATTAATTATTTTTTCTGAGATTCACTTTTTTGACTACAGTCTTAGTGATCTGTTTCAAAATGCTGTTTTACAGTCAATACTCTGAATACCACTATTCCAGAACCTAAAACACACACCACCGCTTTGTCGTCTTTACTAATAATGCCATATTTCTCTAGATTCACCAAATTTGAAATTCTCTGTTACACTAGCTGTCTTGCACTTTTTGTTCTTTTGCTGAGCTAGCCATGTTTAATAACGGTTAAAAATCGTGAGTATAACACACATAAACTTTAAAATACAGTTGTGTTAATGAAATTGACTATGCTATGCGTAGACAAACTTTCCTTCATAAGAAATTGTAGTCCACGACATAACTAAAGAAAAACAATAACAAGCGAGTATGCTCCCCGCCACCCTCCGAACGATCACTCACGTTTGTTCGTAATATTTCATAGTGAACTTTGTTATTTTGAAAAAAATGTTAACCATTTTGATTGGTGGCGGGCCCATAATATTGTGTCGCTTGGCATCCATAGTACGCGTGCCACTGGTTCGCCATCCCTGTAATACACTTATAAATATCGTATATCAGTACTGCTCAATGTATTTGATAATTAATTTATCAATACTAAGTTAAGAACAAGTTTAATAATTAATAGTGACTCGCATTAGCTTGTCATTTACAAAATTTTATATTTATCTTGATAGTTTGTAAGGTTTATAATTAAAATCGAATTGCATCTTAAGTGTAAAAGTACATTATTGAATTCAATACATCGTTATTGTCTGAAGAGGGGAGGGGCTAGGAAAATTGTGACTGAAAACTAGATCGCCAATTTGAATGTCGGAGAAGCACTGTATTTTATTGTTCAGATATTGATAAATAACCAGAAATATATGCTTTCAAATTCTCTTTATTATTCGCTAAAAAGTGTTTCTGTTTTAAAATGTACTGCTGCACATTAAATCATCGGAAAACTATAAGGAAAAATAGGATGTCAATGAAAAACATACAAATGAAGGATATAAGTTCTTTGAATTCTACGATAGCAAGAAAAAAAAACCGAATAATAAAACATAACTTTCTGTACCAAGTCTGTAAGCTTTCAAAGCAGGATATCAAAATCTAATAGGCATTATTGAGGTCCTTTCTTATGGTACACGCATAAATTCTTTATATGTTATTATATAAGTTAAGTCATATGTTATCCATTTCTTTTATCTCAAATATTTCATATTTTTGAGTGAAACTGAATGCGTACATTGATCTCTGCTATGGGGGAGGGAGGTACATCCTAAAAAACACTTAGTCGAAAGAGGCAAAGGGGTATTTCTATGCTAAAAATTAAAATTTTTTTGATCAATGGAGAGGGAGAGTGAAGTCACAAATCCCCCCCCCATACACACAGAATGCAAGTGCATTATTCCTTGTTAAACGTATTTTTAAAATTTAATGAGAGAGAGTGAGTGAGAGACTCTAATATATTCAGCACAGAAAACCATGAAATTATATTATCCAAATAAAAATCCGAGCGTGGGAATAAAAACACGTGTTTCTTCCGTATTTAAACAGCAAAGAATTCTTATCTGAATAGTATATATTTAGAGCACACCCTTACGACTCCGGCATGGTCTAGTGGTTAGGATACCTGGCTCTCACCCAGGAGGCCCGGGTTCGATTCCCGGTGTCGGAAGGATGCTTTTTCTAATTCTAAAATTCAATACTTTTGAAAGAGTAAACAGAAATATATATATATATATGTATATATATATATATCATCTTAAATTTAAAAATTTAATAAAAAATGTATTTAGAGAGAAACTGACATAGAACTATAAAAATGGAATTTTTATTATACCTCCAAAGGCATTTCATATCAAATTCAATGTAAACAAGTTTAAATTTTATGTTTTGAGACGTGTGCACTCATTTATTCGATTCATTTTACTGACGAAGGCTGCGTTACTTAAAAGCTCTCTGAATCCGGCATGGTCTAGTGGTTAGGATACCTGGCTCTCACCCAGGAGGCCCGGGTTCGATTCCCGGTGTCGGAATGTTTCTTTTTCTAATTCTAAAATTCAATACTTTTGAAAGAGTAAACAGAAATATATATATATTTATATCCTCATAAATTTAAAACGTTAATAAAAAATGTTTTTAGAGAGAAACTTGACATAGACCAAACTATAAAAATGGAATTTTTATTATACCTCCAAAGGCATTTCATATCAAATTCAATGTAACAAGTTTAAATTTTATGTTTTGAACGTGTGCACTCATTTATTATTCATTTTACTGACGAAGGTGCGTTACTTAAAACTCTCTGATCCGGCATGGTCTAGTGGTTAGGATACCTGGCTCTCACCCAGGAGGCCGGTTCGATTCCGGTGTCGGAAGGATGTTTTTTATTCTAAAATTCCATACTTTTGAAAAGTAACAAAATATTATATATATATTATATATATATCATCTTAAATTTAAAAATTTAAAAAAATGTATTTAGAGAGAAACTGACATAGACCAAACTATAAAAATGGAATTTTTATTATACCTCCAAAGGCATTTCATATCAAATTCAATGTAAACAAGTTTAAATTTTATGTTTTGAGACGTGTGCACTCATTTATTCGATTCATTTTACTGACGAAGGCTGCGTTACTTAAAAGCTCTCTGAATCCGCATGTCTAGTGGTAGGATACCTGGCTCTCACCAGGAGGCCGGTGTCGGAAGGATGTTTTTTATCTAAAATTAATACTTTGAAAGATAAACAGAAATAAATATATATATATATCTCGTAAATTAAAACGTTAATAAAAAAATGTATGTAGAGAGAAAACTTGACATAGAGACCAAATAAAAATGGAATTTTTATTATACCTCCAAAGGCATTTCATATCAAATTCAATGTAAACAAGTTTAAATTTTATGTTTTGAGACGTGTGCACTCATTTATTCGATTCATTTTACTGACGAAGGCTGCGTTACTTAAAAGCTCTCTGAATCCGGCATGGTCTAGTGGTTAGGATACCTGGCTCTCACCCAGGAGGCCCGGGTTCGATTCCCGGTGTCGGAAGGAAGTTTTTTATTCTAAAATTCCATACTTTTGTAAGAGTTTACATAAAGTTATATATATATATATCCTCGTAAATTTAAAAAGTTAATGAAAATGTTTATAAAGAGAAACACTTGATATATAAAGTAGACTACACACAAATTATAAAAATGGAATTTTTATTAAACCTCCAAAGACACTTCACATCAAATTTGATGAGAGTAAATTTAAATGTTATGTTTTGAGGCGTTGTACTTATTTATTCGATTCATTTTACTGACGAAGGGAGCGTTTTTTAAAACTTTTATATTTATATTCTAAATTATACACCCTCTGAGTTCGGCATGGTCTAGTGGTTAGGATACCTGGCTCTCGCCTAGGACCCCCAGGTTCGATTCCCGGTGACGGACGACTACTTTTTATTCTGAAATTGTGAACTTCCTTTGCCTACATAAAAAAGGCCTTAAATTAGACAATCTATAAAATCATTTTAAAATATTATCCAAGCGTAGAACGCTACCTAAAATACCGAAAAATTGTGAAGATTCACTTAGTTAGGTATCAATAATTATATATAAATCACTTAAAAACAAAAAACAAAAAAGAAAAAAAATTAAAATAAATAAATAAATACATAATGTTTTTTCTTATAAGAAAAAGTCAATTACTACAAAGTACATCAGAACGCAATTCATTTTCTCAAAATGTCAAAAACTTTTCTGTGGATTCAAGGATACAGGTTGAGCCATGGGCTAAATTCATGACAATCACGTGATAAATACAATCACGTGTTCTTCATTAAATTCAAAACTGACGTTAGATTTATTGTTCTACTCATAAAATTAAAATACAACAATAAGTATATTGCATAAAGATGCTCAATGTTAAAATTCAAAAAAAAAATTTCTTATATTACACGAGTATTTTTAAATCGAGTGCATTTGTTTTACCTATATACGCTATTTTTGTTTTCAAATATGTACATTTAAAAGAAAGTTTCCTGAAAAAACAAAAGTTGGCATCAGATAAGCTGGAAGTATGTGTGATTGTATTTATCGTATGACTATATATGACGCCACAGGAATTTATGAATTGATTGACTGAAAGCACGTGATTGTCATTATCATATGATTATAACATCGTATGAATTGAGTCCATTGCTTTGACAGTGATTCATCGCTCCATAAGCAAAAGCGCCCGTTATCAAAACATGTCGCGCGATGAATTTCTATTTCTAGCATTTTCAAGATTGTGCACGCTCAAGATTGGATCTAAAGTTTGACAAAACACTAAGAAATATTCACAAACACAAATAATAAATTACCAATTTATCCATTACTAGGCTCACTCAAAGTACAAGGAGATCAATTATCTATCAAAATCAAAAAGCACTTCTCCGTAAGCCAGAGTTTCTCGAACTGTAAGCTCACCCCCGTAGGGGGGCGTGATAACTCAACCAGGGGGTGCGAGCATATTAAAAACGTCAACAAATAATTATTTTAAAAATAATTAATTTACTGAAAGCAAACAAACAAAATACATTCTGACAAAAAAAAAAAATACACATTTACACTGATATAATAAACTTGTAAATGTATCAGTACTGCACGATGTATTTCATAATTAATTTAATAATACTATTAGAGCAAGTTTAATAATTATCAATGGCCCCATGAGCTTTTGTACATAAAATTATATACAAAAATTAACAGTAATTTGTATAGTTTAATAATTAATCCCTTAACTGTGTGTGTGTGTGCAGATAAAGTGTTGCTAGATTTGCTTAAAAAATGCCGCCATTTTCCACGCCGGCACGCATTTGTGATGCATTGGGGGGGGGGGGGGTAAGAGGAATAACTGTGTAAATTCTCTGCAACAAATAAATCCTACGCAAACACACACAGTCAATGTCCTTTTATCGGATTCCAAAATCTTCGGAATCGGTCATTTATTCGAATCAATTGGGTAGGGACACTGTTCGGATAACCGAAAACCGAATGCGATCCATGCAGTATATGAAACCAGACACTATACGAATGTTGAAAATCTTCATATGTGGGAAACGTGTTTGAAGAAAAAGCAAAATAGGTACAAAATGTCGCAATTTTACCTTTATTGCGGAAAAAATCACTTATTTTTCTTATACTATTGTACCCTTCGTTTCTTCGCTGCAAGGTTTCAGATTCTCTCGAACAGCAGTAGTTGAATAGGACAGCACTATGATTGTTGTTCGTACCACTCCATAGCTGTCTCTAACGCAGAAACGCGTCAGCATTTGAAGGACTCTTGCTACTTTCGTTGTTGTTGTTGTCCTCGTCTTCATCCGTTACATCTTCGACAGAATTGGATTCTTCTTGCACGAAAGTCCCAATCTCGCCATCATTTAGCATTTGAAATCCACAGTCATCTGCATCGCATGCTATCCAGGTTTCTACATCTTCTTCATCGAATTCTTGAAATCCTGGGATTGATTGGACGAAAACGTATTCTTATACAATACATATAGTTGACAAAAAAAAACAGGTCCGGATATTTGACGCTCCGGATAATAAACGTTCGGATAAACGACATTCTACTGTATTGTTATTGTAAAGAAGGGGCGTGATGAAAATTAGATTTTGATAATGGGTCGCAAATGTTGAAAATTTGAGAAGCATTACTGTAAGCATTAAAAGATTACCACACTTTCAATACGCTGAGTTTCCAAGTAAACTGAGGAACTCAAGTCTTGAATAGACTTAAATCCGATGTTGAAACAAATTCAGACACGGAGAATCTTTCAATGAATATTTCAGCATAACACCTACAGGTAAATGCCTAAATCTTGGCAAAGAGTTTCTAATTAACTGATTGAATCAATAAATGATGATGCTGGTAGTGTAAATATCACACAATCTTTTTACCCACGCAAAACCCTTATTTTACATACCAAATCCGAATATGTTGTTTCCACTGTAGAGAGGAGGCAGTTAAATTTTCAATAAAACTTCCTCCAAAAGAAAACAACCTCCTCAACTTATGTTTAAGAGGGAACCTTTGACATAACCTGCTACAATTTAAATGCATTGCTCATATTTAAAAACTTATGTAGTTGATTTTTTCATTCCTTTTTTTATTCAGTTTTTGTAATTAAATAAGATTATTTTATAATACACAGTTTAGGGAGGACGTACAAAGCATCCCCCTTTTTTATTATACAAATCATGTCGTTTTTAAGCATTTGATTTGGTTTTTCAAGGAGTGTATCTATAAGCCAGATAAAAAAAATATTAAAAATAAACTCCATTAATAGTGCTGCTACAAAAGTTGTATATCTTTGTATATACTATTAGTATAAACGAATTTTAAATTTTATAATCTATTTATATCAAATCTCATCGCTTTGTTAGTTGTCAGTTTTGCTTGTCTTTCATTTCTCCAGGGTTTTCCTGTGCAGCGAAATACTGTTTAATTTTGAAAATTCCTTTTTTAACTCTTTCACGAATTAGAGACCCCCCCTTTTTTTTAAAAATAATGATGACTGTTGTATATAATTAAATTACAACCTCGTGACGGATCTATACGCGGGTCTTACTAATACATTCGGGACTCTTTGAGGGAAACATTTCTTTCAACCAACTTTACCGAAGGTAAGAAAACGTGATTATGCAAATTAAGTTTATTATATAAATTCTGTATTCGCGAGCTTTGAGAGTTAGTGAAGGGAAGATCGTGAGTTATTGAAGTGAGAATCTAAGATTATTAAAGTGAGAATTGAAGATATCCAAAGTGAGGATCACTTGGATGTGAGCTGATCAAGACAGCTATTAGTGTTCAAGGCCTCAGCTGTAGGACTTCTGATTGACAAGAATTCAGGTATTGTGCGTATTATTTAAATAGAAGTTAGAAACTAAATTGCTAGGGTGCGTCTGAGTTAATAACGAGCTTATATAGGTTATCATAGAAATTAGTTGAATGTCCATAAATATTATCCCCAGGCTAACCGGTCTCACTTTCGCACTCTAATCTTGATTATTATTGTGCATATGTTAATAAGTGTGACAGTAAAATAATTTTAGTGAATCATGTCAACTGATCAATTAGTTTCCCCACACATCTAGCCGGGTCCGAGCGAAGACAAAGGGGGGTATGAGGGGAGTAGGAATAGCCAAACATTACAACCTTATCTGCATCTCTTATGTAGAATGTTAAAATAGAAATTAGAACGATCATATCAAAAAGTCGAAAATAAGAAATTATGTAGGAAAATTATCAATTTGCTGAAAAGAAGCAAAACAAAATACATTCTGACACATTTACTTTAGCATAACATATTTATAAATGCATGAGCACTGCGCAATGTATTTGATAGTAAAATTATCAATACAAGAACATGTTTAACTTGTGTAACCATGGTGACTTCCTTGGACTTGTTATATACGAAATTTTTTATTATCTTGTTAATTTGTGTGATTTTTATAATCAGAGTCGTATAGTAGCCGTGTATACGTCATAATACATTATTATTACATTTTACATATTGTTATTGGGCGAAAGGGGTGCGATGAATATTCTGATTGAAATTGGGACGCAAGCGTTGTAAGTTTGAGAAGCGCTAACCTAAATCCCATAAGTGTTAAAAGTGAATTGATTGATACAGATCAGTCTGTTTTTGTACGGGTAGATAGGAACGCATAAAAAAACCGCACAAAAAATATTCGGACATTTCATAAATTTTACATATAACAAACAAATTCGTCGAAATACTATAGAAAAAAAATTATGCCGTGGAGAAGGTTAATATAAAAAAGTCTCACTTAGAAAATGCGCAAGTTATTTGCGAAATTCATCAAAAAGTATTTCCATAACGAAATAAATAGTTAAATTATACGTGGAATCATTTTTAAGACATTTAGTTTCTGTACATGGATACATTTTCAAAGTGCACATACATAATTCATTGCTACTCATTGCAATCCAAAGCGCTCATCTTCCTGTGATAAAAAGTTCAAAATCGCTTTCCTCACATGAAGATACAATTTCAGCTAATTTGTTTTTTGGCACCATAAAGTAAGAGATAAATTTTTACAGCGAAGTGGCTGGTCAGTTGCTTGTAAATGTCACGATAACCAGATATGTATCATCGAAGCTCTTTTTGAAATTTCATACTCCTTTCCGGATTGGTATCTATTTTGAAAATGCTTTCCGATTTGATGGAAAGCTGTATCCCTGCATATATTTTATTCTACCCTCAAATAATCCGTTTCTTCTTGTCCTAGTTCATAATCTGTCAAATTATTGATAATGTCTCTGTTAGTGAAAGTTTCGTTTTTAATCAAGCGCGGGTTGTTGGCGAGTTGAGAGAAAGCAATTGAACGTGCATTGTCACGAGACTGTTTATAAAAAATTAACATAGCATCTTGAAGTGTAT